GAGCTTGCTTCGTTTTAAGCATAGTATTATGAGTGAACCACTGAAAGGATATGGCTTAAATCTAGTTCTTTGGAACATCTAGCAATACGTTTCGCAAGACTTTTTATTTCCCTGGTGAGGGCATTGAGAACCAGAGCTTTCTCAAAACAAAATATGACGGGGCAAGATAGCTGCCGTTCAAATATGACTTTGTTTGAGTCTCAGGCAACGTCTCCATGTTTAGCCTTCCCGGACGCTGAGTGAATGCGTCACAGGTTTCTGCTGTGGGAGCTTTTGTCGAAAAATGTTCCACTTTTCACCCATACACAAATTATGCTAGATCTCGCGGCCTCTGTGGTTGTCCTGACCCTTTCATTACACATTGGTAGGTTTCAGCGTCTGGACGGCTACAAAATGACTCGAATTTTGCAAATAAAACACGGGCCGTCGATTACTCCCTTCGTGAAATATCAGACGCTTACAATTCAAGCTCGCGTTTGAGTTTGTGGCCCGCGGAACGCGATTTCGAGCAGAAAACCAACTTTTTCTTTCAGTTCCGCTGTGCGAATGCCGCATCGTAGCAGAAGAACTCTCGTCGTCTGCTCTCGCTCCTTGCCTGAGCGAGGCATGACGGGACTGTCGGTACTAGAGAGCTCAAAGACAACACACAGCGAGCGGCGTGAACGCTCGCCTCCCCGCGCCGTCTCGTGCTCTCGTGCACCGCCTAGGGATCGCGGGGGATTTTTCGTCAAAAGTTGCGAAGTTGAGCGCGCGCAGGGAGGAGGAAACTTGGCGGCGTTCTTTTGGTCACTCCCACCGCTACGTCAAAAAACGAAGAATGTGTTGCTCCACGAGTTTAGCTACCCTGGTAGGGGGAGCTGATGTGCGTTGAATCCTCTTAGATGGTGGCTATGTGTCTTTTGAGGTGCGTAGTCACCATGGTAGAGTGGGGACGTTGCGATGGTCGTACCTCGGGGCTCGTGGACAATACTCGGGTGCGGGAACTTTTCATACCCCGGGTTAGCAAAGTGGTTGTGCGTCTCTTGCAGGGCTATAACGTCGGGATATCTGTCGGTGCTGCGCATGTTTTGAATGAGTGTGTTTTTCATGCACTTGAGACCCCTGGTTCGACAATTTCAGTGCCAGATGAGAAAGCTGGTTTTGGCGCCTCGATGCTGTGTGTGGCGGGGCGCTATTGACGGTTGTGTGCAGGGACAGTAGTTTTTAGAATAATCTAATGAGTGAAATGACCGTTCGACGAATGGTCATTCCACTCATTCGGAGTAGGCTCGGAGCAGGCTCTATCACTTTGGGGAGTGCGTCATTTAGTAACTGAGCGGAAGTTGGCACCGCGTTAGTCGGGCGTGAGTTTGTTTTGTTTCCTTTGAACGTGACTGCAATGTACGAAGCTCTCTTCGAAGGTTGGTTCTCGAGCGTGCTTCTCAAGTTTATTTGTAGAGTTCGAGAGCGCTTTCACCTTTTCTGGCTAGCTTTGGCCATTCGGTTTGATGAACCGCGGTTCTATCCGTGCGGAAATCGACAGCGTGTTGACTGGCGTAATTCCTGGTTTCTGTCTCCTTTTGTTGTCTAAAACATGTTGGTGATCTAGCCATGTGAGCGGCTCCGCGGTTCATACACTTTTCTTGCGCAGAACAGCTGTCTGTGTTTTCATGGGTGCCCCTGCAGCGGCCACATACTGGATTCTGCTTGCAGGCTGCTTCTCCATGTCCATAGCGGCAGCACTCCCGGCACTGTACGTCGCATTATGCTCCTTACGAAGCATGGCAGCGTCGATTCAAAAAAAGAAATCTTTACCGCTCAGCTTTTGCCTAGTCTTCGAAGTCGCAAAACTCTGTTTTCTGGAGACCTTAAGTTATCGGCGATCTGTGCATCAGTGAGCGTGATGTCCACGTCCCTGACTACTCCAGTGCCGTAATGTCTTCGAAGGGGTTCGTAAGATCGGATCTTCGCTATATAGAACTCAGTGCAGCCTGGAAGGGCTCGCGTTGTCTTGCAATTTTTTGTGCCGATGGCAATGAGATTGAGACGTCTGTTATATGTGATCTCACGGATACATTCCGGGCACATATACCTCAGTGGAGGGACCCCTTTAGGCTGCTTAGCGATGTAAGCATTCTGTTCGGCTCGGCCGGTGTGAATATGACAGTAAGCCCTTCAAGCATTAGTGTACTGGTGCAGATTGTTTCACCACTAAGACTGGAATTGAGGTTGTTTTAAAGCGCAGCTCTTTGGCGCCCGTTTCCAGCTTGAGCGGCGTCGGCGTCGCCGACGCTGTCGGCGTAACCGTAACGCGGCGACGGAACGCTTTTTCGTGACGCGTCGGCGTTGCCGTCGGTGTAACCGCGCGGTGCATTATGGGAAACGCCACATTATGCGCCGCGGTGACGCGCGCGTTTCATTATGGGACATTTTCCATAATGCACCGCGCGGGCGAGACGAGGGGGAGGGGGGAGGGGGGAGCAGGATGGAGGAGGAAGGAGGAGAAAGAGGGAGGGGAAGAGGGAGTAGGAAGAGGGAGGAGGAAGAGAAGAGGGAGAGGAGGTGAGGAGCAGGGGAGGAGTAGATGAGGAGGGAGGAGGAGAGGCATACCGACCCCTCCGTACCCTCCCCTCCTCCTCCTCAAAAGCTGCGCTCTAATTCGGCATTATAGGGAGTTGTAACACCTTTCATTTTTTAGAGTGCAGCTCTTAGGCGCCCAGTTCCGGCTTGAGCGGCGTCGGCGTCACCGTCGCCGTTGGCGTAACCGGGCGGTGCATTATGGGAAACGTCCCATAATGCAACGCGCGGGACTCGTGACGTCACGGGGGTCACGTGACCTCACGAGGATCACGTGACATCTTGGGGGTCAAGTTACCTCACCAGGGTCACGTGACGTCACAGATGAGGAGGAGAGTACGGATAACCAGGAGGGGCATACCCTCCCCTCCTCCTCCTCCTCCTCCTCCTCCGCCTCCTCATGAACTGCGCTCAAATTCGGCGTTACGGGAAGTCGTAAACGTCTTTCATTTTAGAGAGGAGCTCATAGGCGCCCGTTTCGGGCTTGAACGGCGTCGGCGTCGCCGTCGCCGTCGGCGTACCCGCGCGGTGCACTATGAGTAAATTTTGCGAAGGAACATGAGGTCCTCCCGAAGGACCTCGGGTTCTTTCGGGAGGACCTCGGGAGAACCTCGGGTTCCTTCGGGAGGACCTCTGGAGGACCTCGGGTACCTTCGGTGACGTCGGGGAAGGGGGTCACGTGACCCCTCCCGAGGTCACGTGACCCTCCCCCAGACCCCCCAAGGTAACGTGACCCGCTAGGTCACGTGACGCCCCCACCAAGGTCACGTGACCCCCTGAGGTCACGTGACCCCCTGAGGTTACGTGACCCCCTGAGATCACATGACCCCCTGAGATCACGTGACCCCTGAAGTCACATGACCCTCCTGAGGTCACGTGACCGCCTGAGGTCACGCAATTCCCCTTAGGTCACGTGGCCCCCCTAAGGTCACGTGACCCCCTGACGTCACATGACCCCCTCCTGAGGTCACGTGACCGCAATGAGTCACCTATCCTTCAGTACGCTTCCACCATCCTCCTCAAGAGCTGCGCTCTAACCGGCGTTACAGGGAATTGTAAACGGCTTTCAGATTTTTTATGAGAGTTTTAAAACAAAAACAAAAGAAAAACACAAAGTCAAGGTTCACAAAGCGGAGGAAGTATTAAACCACAGTTGGTAGTCCAGAGGTATGTCTGTCTCTTTTTCTCTCTATATTCTATTTTCCTAAGTACAGCTGACCCTATTGGAGTATTATGCACCAACAACCTCAACTACAGCCCGTTGCTACGAGCTAATCGGACCAATCAAGCAGCGCATTATCGCACCTCGTTCTTGTACTTTACGAGCGGCTAAGCCAATTGCACATAGCGCAGGATCATGGAGCATTCAATGTGCGTGAGTGGTTTCGCCCGATTGCAAACGCCGAAAGCGACTTGCACCTCGACGATATTCGATCGGGTCTTTCCCGGTGTTCCGAGTGTTTCAGGGCGTATTCTGGAACTTGTTGTACGCAAGCGGCCATAGTTCGCGTGCTAAGGTTAGCCACACTGGGCATATTTATTTCGCTTTTTACTTGACTTAGGGTCGCTTCACTCTCTGCTGTCAAGAGCAGAGTGTTCCATGTCACTGGATGGCTTAATGATCCACCGCGATGGTGATGTGGCGAATAGCTGACCTGGAGTGATGTCCTCAGTCTGGTTCATGGTTGAGTTTCCTGATTCGGCGATTTAAATGTCACATTTGGAAGAAGGCACGTTGCAGTGATAGGCGGAAGCGTGCTGGTTCGAGTGCAGCAAAGTTGGGCCGGTAGACATGGCAAAGTCAATTCACTTGTACCAGTGAAAAAATTCTAGTGCGGCGAACCACACAGTCGAGAGGATTGGTCAACTTTCGAACAATGTCTGTGGTTTATACTGTCAATATCGGCGGACAATATATAATATTCTGATAAAACAGAGCGAGCACACAGCCTCTTTCAAAACACTTCGCATTCTTCCCTCTTGACCAGAGATGTTCGCCTAAGATCAGACCGTGATGCAGAAAATTTCATTTGTTTAGGTTGTGAGAAAGAAAATATTTTCACACGGTAGATGTATTAATAAATATGAACCTGATATACACCGCGCGACACGGTTAGTGCTAACACGATATCGGCGGTCTTGTTTCGTATTTTACTCATTGCGTACATAAACACCAAACTCGATTTTGACCGCCTAATCTGAAGACCCGTATTTGCAAACCTTCTACCTGCTTGTAATATAACTTTTTCAGTTGTAAAATAAACAAGAAGAGATGGGCAGTCGCTTTTTCGTGCAATCTGTGTTGCGCTCTTGACCAGATATTTCACATAGAGCTGCTTACTATCTCCGTTTGCATAAGAACCAGAGTGAAACAAAAAGAACAGAAAGCTTCTCAGCTAATACCTCGAAACTGCGCATAATGGAACACTCAGTAGAGTGGGAGGGAAACGCGGGGAAACCGACCAGCGATTCCTGACAAATGACTGCTTCCTAAGCAATTTTATCTGTATCTCAGACACGAGTCACTAAAATCTAAGCTTATGCCCATAAAAAAGGGTGCCGCTTCAACTGCTTACATTTCATCTCCGTCATCCAACTGCCCATAAAAACTGGCATGATATTCGGTAATAGATAGCAACTGGGAAACAGCGGTTTGTGGAAACCGATTCAGAGAGGATAAGAAGGATCAGCTGATGACTTTAGATTCATTGCCGCAAGTCATCTGTTCTGCGGACAGGATCTTCAGGTAGCTTCCCTTGACCGCCGCCGGTGATGCACAGTGAGCGTATGTCCAGTCGTCACTATATTCCAGCAGGAACCGGAGCCGGCAGTCGCAGTGCAGCGGGTTTCCTGGGAGCAGGAAAAACACGGGGTGGTACTAGCGTCCCCTTCCAATCGTGATGTGTGTTTTGGTTCAAGTGTGCGGCATTGTTGTACAAATGAAATAACTAAACGTCTTTTTTGATTTAGGTGAAGCATTTTACACGATATCGCCATGCCTACTTTGATATTTTCCTTTAAGGGGCGGTGCAACGATGTTCAAATGGAATGTATTTCACTTTCCGCGAGCTTACTGGCACTAGTGGAACTCGGAGATGCTCTAAGAAGGAGGCGGTGTACAGAGGTACTCCCCTTGTCCCATGTGTAACTCCCCAAAACTGCATTTCGTCGTTCTGTACACTGATGTCGAGCTGGCGATACCAACTTTTACAAGCGGCTTGATAGCTGTCGGATATAATCAGTCTTGTACACGTTACAAAAACAAAGAATCGATTACAATTACTATTACTCTTGGCTAAAAAGTATTCGATTAGATTACTTGATTACTCGACGGCAAAAGTAATCGGATATTACTTAAAGAAGTAATCGTTACTTTTTCGATTACTTTATTGTGTGAAGACACATCTTTAGCGCTCATAACAATGAACTACTTCCAACCTATATTTCACATTGGCACAAGTATTGAAGAAGAAAAACTGGCTCCCTCTTCGTGGTCGTTGCACCTTCACAATGCGGACAAAAGCATAGAATTCGTTTGAAGACGTTTAATGATTTGGGCGTTCGCCAGTGTGTGTGCGTGTGTGTGTGTGGGGGGGGGGGGGGGGGGGGGAGCGGAGGGGGTTCCGGATCTTGTTAAGCTTGAGCAAGGGTTGTCGCTCAAAGTTTGCGTCGCTCATTTTATTATTCACATGTGGATGAGCTCGCATGTTATACAAAAGAGCAGCAGCTCCAGGGTTTAAAACGGATCAAGTTTAGTATCCATTAGCGAAAGAGATCGCCCCGACCACCTCTCAACTCGGAACATTGCTTGTCACAAAGACCACGTAGGGGAAATGGGGAAATATTTTTTTTTATTTTTTTTTATTTATCAATACTGTAGGTCATTGAAGACCCATAGAGAAGTGGACATTAGTACAAACAAGAAGCACTACAGCGGTATAAGACATTCGATAAAAAAAAAGACACAAAAAGAAAAACGTATAGGCGGAATGTTATGCTAGAGCATAGAAGTGAGAGTCTCGGCAAAAGACTGCGCTGATGTACTATTTACGATTTCTTCTGGTAACTTATTCCAATCATCAATAACGCGGGGGAAAAAGGAATATTTAAACGTGTTGTTTTTGGCTGAATACGGCCTGATCGTCTTGTTATGGTTGGTTCGCTTTGAGTGCACAAAGGGGGCCTTGAGGTATTTTTCTTGTTCTATACTTATTTGTTGTTGGTACAGTGCGTACAAAAACTTTAGGCTAGCAATTTTTCTTCGATCTTTTAGGGTGTCCAACTTTGCGTTCGCAAGCATAGCGGTAACGCTAGCCCTCCATGAGTAATTAGAATAGATGAACCTTACTGCGATCCTTTGAACTTTTTCCAGCTTATTATCAAGGTAATCTTGATACGGACTCCAGATAATACTGGCATATTCCAAAACTGGTCTGACCAGTGCCTTGTATGCTGACAGTTTAGTTGCAGACGTAGAGTTTTTTTAATTTTCTTCTCAAGAAGCCCAACTTCTTAAATGCATTACTGCATACGTTTCTGACATGTGTCTCCCACTTAAGGTTACTGGATATTGTAACTCCCAGGTGCTTTATTTCATTTACTTTATTAATAGTTTTATTATCTAACATATATGAGAAGTCTAACGGGTTTTTCTTGTTAGTGATAGTGATAACAGCAGTTTTGTCGTGATTGATTTTCATACCCCATCTCTTACACCAAAGGCTTATGTTTTGCAATGATTTGTTAAGAATTATCAGACTCTCAGGTCCAGCTATGGTTGTATATATGACGCAATCGTCGGCGAAGAGTCTCACTTTCACAGTTGGATCAACACAAGCCGGCAAATCATTTACATAAATCAAAAATAGCAATGGGCCAAGCACTGACCCCTGTGGCACTCCGGAAAACACATCCAGCATCCCAGAGGTACTACCGTTCAGTGTAACATACTGTTTGCGTTTGAAAAGGTAACCATAAATCCAGGAAATCAAAACATGACTAATTCCAACTGACTGCAACTTACTTATTAATTTCTGATGGGGCACACGGTCAAAGGCTTTTGATAGGTCCATAAAAATGGCATCAGTTTGTTGTCTATCGTTAATAGTAAGCGCAAAATCGTGGGTAACCTCTAGGAGTTGCGTTACCGTAGACAATCTTGCCCGGAACCCGTGTTGATGTGAATAAAGAACATTGTTTTCTTCTATGTGTTTAGTTATCGCCTTGCATATTATGTGTTCAATTAACTTGCATGTCGTACTTGTCAGTGAAATGGGTCTGCAGTTAGTGATTAAGTGTTTATTTCCTGTCTTGTGAATCGGGACAATCTTAGCACAACGCCAATCATCCGGTAGCCGTGAGGATCGCAGTGATTCAACAAAAATTAGACATAGATAATGCGAGAGCCACTCTGCATATCTTCTTAAAATTGTGCCAGAGATTCCATCAGGTCCAGCAGACTTTTTTACGTTTAGATTCAGTAGTAACGATAGGATTCCGGGCTGAGTAATCTCCAAGTTTGGCATTACAGGCACTTCAATATTTTCTGGTTCACATTCATCTTCGAGGGCTCTAGAAAATACAGACTGAAAAAAATAATTGAAGCCTGAAGATATGGTTTCTGGGTCAACTGTGATAGCGCCATCAATTTCGAACTGTGAAACATGGCTTTCTCGTCTCGACAGATATCGCCAAAACTTTTGGGGGTCATGTATAAGAAAATTTGGTAGGGTAATATTGAAGTACCTTGCGCTAGCCGAGTTGATTTCTAATGTCAATTCTCGTGATAGTTCTTGTACCTCGAGCTTGTTTCTACGTCTCCGCTTCAGACGGCGTTTCATGTGTATAATATTTCGCGTTATCCACGGGTTCATGCGGTTTATCGTTTTCTTTCTGTTAGGAACGAAGTTCGTTTCACAGTATGTTATTATATCTTTAAACTTGCACCACATTTCATCAACGTCGCACATATGGCTGAATTGGTCGAATTGGGTTTCTAGATAATCAAGGATACATACATCATTGGCCATCGCATTATTTTTTACCGTAACAGTAACACGCTTGTTTGGTTTAGTATTACACAATGGATAAGTACAGACTAGTAATTTGTGATCGGAAATTCCATCTTCGACCGTAACCTTGAACTCTTTTAGGCAATTGCTCACAAACAGCAGATCTAGAGTAGAACTCGCTGTTCCGGATATGCGGGTTGCTTCCAGCACCAATTGGTCTAGACAAAAGCTGAGTGCGCTTTGCAATAGCTGTTCCGAGCTTTCTTCATCTATCTTATCATTTGTTAACGTGGTCCATTTGATGCCGGGTAAGTTAAAATCACCTGTCAATATCAGTTTAGTTCTATCGTTAACTTCTGCACAAAGGTACTCATGTAAATCAATTAAGTACTGAAGAGGAGCCTTAGGCTGTCTATAAATTCCGCCAACCAAAATGCTCGTTCCAAACATATTTACTTTGCACCAGATGCTCTCGTGATTTGGTATTCCATCAAGTTGTACAAAGGATATTCCATTTTTTATTACCATTGCCACACCCCCGCCCCTTGCCTCTCGATCTTGACGAATTAATAGGTATCCCGGTGGGACTATTTCTGAATCATGAACCCCTGGATGGAGCCATGTCTCCGTTAGTACTACGATGTGGGGATTATACGTGAGTAAACACTCTTCCAGTCTATCAACCTTGTTCACGATGCTTCGCGCGTTGAGCGACACCAGACACAATCGTTTTTCTTTCGATAGTGGTCAATCTTGCTCTTGCGGAAACGGTCTGTAAGGGGTGTTATCTTGCTTCAGGCCACATTTCACGCGTTCACATTTCACAGGGTCCCAACTGTACAAGTCATTGTTAATCTTCAATTTATCAAAAATAAGCGTAACCTTATCTCCATTCGCTTTATTAACAGCAGCGCTTTGCCAAAGGTTTTTGCGAATCGCGCGCACATTATGTGAAAAATCTTCGGAAATTGATATTACCGAACCTTTCAATTTGAAGCAGTTTCTCAGAGCTCGCATTTTCTCGTTAAAGTCGTTGACGCGTAATATCACTGGTCTAGGGCGACTGCCAATCTTTCTACCGATCCTATGAATGCGTTCGATAGTTTTTACCTCCACCTGTAGTTTAGCACTAAAGATACCTTCCGTTACTGTTTGCTGCAATTCCCTCGGGTCTTCTTTCTCATCCTCATGCAAACCATATATTACGATGTTGTTTCTACGGCTAGCATTCTCCAAGTAATCTATTTTCCCATCGAGCTTAACGACGTGGCTTAGTAGATTACGTATCTAAGTTTCGTTCTCGTCAATTCTTTCTTTGTTCTTGTTTAAACTTTCAAAGTTAGTCTCGATAAGGGAAAGCCGTGTTTGGACTGCTCCTAGAGAGTTCTCGAGTAGCACTTGTTTAGACTGAATATTGTTAAGAGTGACGCTCATTGTTTGTTGGTTGTCAAGAATTTGTCTCAACATTTCTTCAGTCGGACCTGGGTTTAACTCCACATCCCCACTAAGTTGTAGAAGCAACAAAAGCACACCCCAGCACTCAGAGCATGTAACAATCAAGGACCGCCTTTGTTTAACTGCCTTTGTTATATTTTGCATCCGCTTTAGGCATTCTTCGGTTCTGGTTCTCCTACGGGCTGCGAGTAGGTACCCTAAGAAGGATTTCTTTTATTTCTGTGTGTGTGTGCGCGAGGGGGCTAGTTTGAACGACGGACTCACAAACCTACATTCTGCTTCCTCAAATTTCGTCCTGAATGGCCTTTGTCACGCACTGTGGCTTCCCACCCCCAGTCCCAGCTGGAAAAAAGAAAAACGGACATTCCACAAAAACGAGGTCAA